GAGACTTGATCCCACAACCCTGAGATCATGACTTGAGCCAAAATCAAGAGTTGGATGCTCAACCAATTGAGCCACCCGGATACCCTGAAACGCCCTTTTTTTGACATTCCTTTCCCCACAGGTGGTTACATTTTCAGACATCGAGGCTATTTATTGCACTGAAAAAAAATGAATGCATAAAATCAGGTAATGGAAGTATTTTCCAAAATGTCCAGGTCAAGAGGTAGCAATGGGGCTACAGAGCAGGGAGCTGACTCAACTGACACCTGCTCTGTGGTGCCCACTACAGGAGGGGATGGGGGGAGTCCACTCTGAGGAAGCACCCAGAAGTCTAAGGATAAGGGAATGGAATCAGGGAAGAAATTGTAGTCTAGCTGGAGCCGGGTCCTGGCCAGGGGCAAATGTGGTGGTAAATGGGGGTCCCAGTGAAATATGAGCATCACCCAAAGTGCACTGATGACCCTCCTCCTAGCCTGTGTTCTTGGCCCCCTCCAGTAAAATTGTAACCATTTTCTGAGGCCCATTTCCAAGTCCAGCTCCTTTTTGATATAAGCTCCCCTCCACCTCTCCCTCCAGATGTCTTGTTCCTCTAAAGGCTGGCTGTACTTATTCTCTGGGCTATTTTCACAGCACTTCCAAGAGGGATACAAGGCTGCCTCAACATTCTAGTGACACTTGTATCCTCCTAATAGACCCAAGGCCTTTGGCTCCCTTTGCTTCCCAGGCATCCAATACAGTAGTGCTCAGAAAATATTTGTGGCTCTGTGAGTGAGTGACTCAGGCAGGCCCCATGGGGAGTAGAGTTTTATGGGTTTTAATCTGAACCATACCATGAAATCTGAGACTTTTACCTCATTGCTCATACTGGAAACTGTCAGTTCCAGTCAGATTTGCTTGGAGCTGGGTGGAATTTTGTTCCTTTTCGCGATGAAAGCCATAATCTAATTTTTAAATTAAAACACATTTACATAACACCTACTTCATGTTCCACAATAATCTAAACACTACAAATGTTAACTCATTTACTTTTCATAACAACCCAGATAGAAACTGAGGCACAGAAATGTTGTCATTTGGGCAGAGATCAAAGCTAATGAGTGGCAGAGCTGGGATTCAAACCCAGTCCATCTGGTTCCAGAGAACACGCTCCTTAAGATGCTACCTCGCCTGAAACTTGTGAGTGGCAAAAACCTTCATGAGCAGAAAAACACTGACGTTGATGTATTTATTTCAGAGGAAAAAAATTTTTTTTCTTGTGTCCCCCTTTCCTTCCTCATTCGAAGCAAATTGTTCTAGAGCAAAGAGCCTTTGTTTCACACCTGAGAGAACTGGTGGCTCAGTTTTGCTTTGGCAATCAAAATGGAAGAGGAAACTTGTGTGGTTTCATCATTGGTGCTTTAGGGGTGTGTGCTGTGCACAGCATGTCATCCTGCTCCCAGGCTATGTTGCCTCAGGTCCTGGAGACTTTTTAGCGTGCCTTTCCCCTACAATAGTGGGATGTGGACCAGCCTTTCCATCACTCCCGCACAGCCAGTCCCTGTCCTAGAGCCTCAAGGGTCTTCCTTTGTCCTCCTCTCCCTCAAAGCCTCAACGCATCTGCGTCAGAATCCCTAGACCCAGCATCTATCTCTCCGTCCTCCATCCCACGGGTGAATCCACTATGCGTCCCTGTTTCCGAGGTTTTGTGCCGGACTTTATGTATATTTAAATTATCTCCCCACGTGGGAGGCCGGCGTCAGAACCCGACCGACCTGCCATTGATTAACTGTGGGACCCAGGGCAAATTACTTAACGTCTCTGAGTCTCGGTTTCCTCATCGTGAACGGGATTGATACCCGTACGGTTGCTGTGTGGATCAAAGGAGATCATGCAGGGGCTGCACCGGCACGCAGTGATTTTCTTAGGTCCCCCTTGGCATTATTTACTTAATGTATGCTTGTCTGTTTCCCATTTTTTTTTTTCCAGCGCACCCTCCCGCTCTGAGGGCAGGAAAGGCGTCTTTGCGTCACACTGAGAAAGTCCCTATACCCTTCGTTAAAACGTCCGGCGCCACTGGGCTCTTCTGGCACATTCACGACAACCCCTGAGAATCGTTCCTTCTTCAGACCCCAACCCTAAACTTTCACCCTGCGGCCCTAGAAAGGCTAAGGGCTCACGATCCGAGGGAGGCCCGGCTGAAGTCGCTGGGTGGGGCTCTGGGAAGCAGAAATGGGGTTCAAGAGGGAGCCCGCGCTCCGGCTGGCCTCCCTCGTTCCAAGACGCCCTCAGCCCCGGGCCCCTTTCCGGCTGCGGACACCTGCTGCCCGGGGCTCGTTGTCGGCGGCAGGCCTCCTCCGCGCTGCAGTCTCGGCGGCCCGGGTTCCACCTGCGCGGCCGCCGACGCCGGCGAGGTGGTCCCGGCCTGCGCCTGGCCCGCCGCCACCAGGGCAGCCTCCCGGGCGCCCCGCCCCCGCCTCCTCCGCGCAGCCCGCGGCGCCCGGCCGCGCCCCCTCCCACCCCGCGGCGCCCCGGCACCCCTCTCCTCCCCCGGCGGGCTCGGCGGAGCATTGTACTCACATCCGGGGCTGGGTTTTGCTTTAATGCGAAACGTAATTAACCCGGAAAAAAGAGCCGAGAGACAAGAGAGAAGGAGGGGTGGGGGTGAGGGGGAGAAGAGCGAGAGGAGCGAGAGGCCCCGAGAGTTTGGCAGCGAGATAAAGAAATCCCCCGAGAGCGACGGCCCGGCCGGGCGGAGAGGCGCGTCCCACCCCGATGTAACCCACCCTGCCCGAGCCCCGGCCGCCGCACGGCGGGGTAAGTGGGGCGCCCTGCGGGTCGGGGCGCAGAGGGGCGCGCGGGGGCAGGCGGGGCTGGGGAGCAGGGGAGCCCGGGCGGGGGCGCCCAGGGCGCGCAGGCGGGGCCGGGTGCGCCTGCCCTGGCGGCTGACCGCGAAGGGAAAGGTCGCCGCAGCCCCTGGGCGCCTCCTGCAGCCCCCGGGAAATCCCGGAGGGCAGCCCCTCCTCCAATCTTCTGGAGCGTCCGGGGCGGCCAAGGTCGCCACCGCCAGGGGTCGGGCTGCGGGGGTGGGGCCGCGGGAAGGGGGGGCGGGTGTTCTGCTGAGCTGCATTTTCTCACGTTTGCAGCGGCGAAACTTCTCTGCGGGTTCTGGCGCCGGGAGCACCGGCCTCGCAACGACTGCCCGGGCTGCGGGTAGGGGAGGAGAGCGGAGAAGCGTCCCAGGCAAGTCCCTTGGGCTCGGATTGGGCCATGGAGCCTCGTTTTTTTCTTCCCCTATTACCTTATTACGTGACAGGCCTACAGTGCTCCCCTAGGGAGATCCGTTCCTTTCCCCTGGGTCCAGCGCGGACCCTCGGGCTTCTGGAACTCCAGGCTGTGGGGGGGTGCCTTGAAGGAAAACTGTCCTAAAACGCAGGTTCGGTGCCAGATTGGGAAAGCACCCTTGAGTGAGCTGTCTCTCGCTCTCATCAACTTCTTCCTCACCTTACACGCTTCCCTTTTCTGCTCGAGTCCTGAAGACTGTTACTTCATCAAACTAACAAAAAACCAAAAAATAAATTAAAAAAACACAAAAAAGGGAGGAAGAAAGGGGCAGAAGAGGCCGTGCAGGAAGGAGAAGTGTACGGGCACCTCCAGAGAGGAGGCGCGGCGGGGCCACCTCCACTTGGGCCTCACACATCTCCTCCCCCAGGCCGGCCCTCCCCGCCCCCCCACCAAGCCTTTCGCCTAAGGTTTCCTTCCTTCTTGGTGAGTTTGGGTTCTAGCTGAATGTTCCCCTTCTAACTCCTTCTCCTGCTCCTCCTCTTTTCTTTCTTTAGGACTCCAAATGGGGTTTTCCGGAGGAGAGTGAGCAGCAGAAAAGAGGGAGGGGGGAAAAGGCTCTACCAGGCCTCCAGCTGTGGCCCTTGGAGGCACCTCAGCCCGCTGAGTGGTGGTTGCACTTGGGCTGAAGTTCCAAAATTGGACTCATGTTCTTAATATATCTAAGTCATTCCCCTTTCTCCTCTTTTCTGGAGCTTCATCCTTTTTCTTTGTCTGGTGGCACAGCCTTCAGAAACAGTGAAACCAAAGGTCTGGAAGGAATAGAAGGGCTTGTTTTCTGTTCCACGGTTGCATTCAGTTGACATGTAATGGATAACAAGGATGTGAAAGGCAGTGTCCAAGGAAGGCCAGCCTCTGTCTTCAGGTTGTCCGATGGCAGTCACAGGCTGTCCACGAGTGCCTCCAACACAAAGTGGACTGCTAAAATAGAGATCTGGCATGCTTTGAGAAACCAGGGGAAGCTTTTTGGAAAGCATCATCCTTTCAGGTATTTGTCTTCTCCATGTGTGCGCCGGAACGCAATGACTTTTGCCATAGCAAAAGTCTACCTTGTAGTCTAGACCCTATGGCCAGCATGATGTAGGACATCTCCTAGGTGCTAAGCAGGTGTTTGTTGAATGAATGAATGAATGAATGGCTGCAGGTACATGAATTGTTTGCACCTGTCTGGATGGAAGGGAAAAGAGCCGTGTGGCAGTACCTCAAGCCTGTATAAATTTGGTTCACTGAGCTGGTGCATGAGGATTTCCTCTGGATGTTGCCTTTAGACCTTTTTGGTGAGCCTGTTTTTGTAAGCCCCACTTTCTATGAAGTGTCTGTGGCGCCCCTGGTGGTATTTCTGCTAGTTGATGATGGGAGCCTTGCTCACTTCACAGGCGAGGGTGATCACCTAGGTATTGATTTGCAAACCACCTGCTCCTGGGTAGAGAGCTTGCAAGCCCTTCTTTTCCCTCTTGTTGGTGCTTCCTTCTCTCTTCTGTAAAAGGAAGTAGGGCCTGCATGCCCCATCTTGTCATCCTTGGTGAGCTGAACTGTATTGGGCTCTGTATTTTACTAAGGTTGAAATAAACTGTGAAGACACGCAGATGTTGGTTGGTGTCTACCTATGGAGAAATTCTGCAAAAGTGGGAAGGCAGAAGCATTAGCTCTATCAGTCAAATCCTCCCGAACAACCAGCTCTCCTCCTTGCTTGCTGGGTGTTTCCTCAAAGTGCTGGAATGCTACGAAGACCCAAACAGCAGGAGCACGGTCTTCACGGTGTGCATCTAGTGGCACTTCACTGATTTCCCGTTTTCTTCATGAGGCAGGTGGACAGAGGGCTTGGAAAAGAGGGTCTGGGTGCTGGCACATTGGACTGCCCAGCCTCCTCTGTCTTTCTACCCTGAGCAGTTTGGGTTGCCTTACTTTCAGTTTTCCATCTCTGTCTTGGTGAGCTGGATAGGACTCCTGCAATCTAATCTGTTAGGCTTTGGAAAGGAAGGAAGCAGAGCAAATATTATAGTGTGACAGCCTATGGGGAGAGAAGAATCCTAGCCCTGCCCAGTATAAGCCCATCACTGAGCCAGGGAATTGGACAGGGTGGGGAGATAGGGCGGCTGAGAGGTGGGAGGGATGGGGTCCCTTCCTTCCTGTTCTTAGGAGGCCTGTGGTTGGTGCAGTGGGACTATAACTGGAAGACTCCATTGACCTTTGTTCCAAATCTTGGGTTGCTCTGCTTTCCCATCCCCTGGCCCCTGCTTTTAAGCCCATCCAACCTTTTAGGCTTTATAATTTATCTCCTTTCTGCAGAGGACTGAAAGCTGAATTGAGCTCTTTCACTGTGGAGGTTGCAGCGCTGCTGAGGCCGGAGCTCCTGACACTGCCCAGTGTGGGGCCAAAGGCTCTCAGCTTTGGGCCTGTGGGGGCCTTTCTGCCCTCAGAGGCTGGCGGCTGAGATAAAGAGGGTGGGACGCTAGGTCCGCTTGTCCTTACACTCTTGAGAAACACTGTAGTTAAAGCGCAAAGGCCGGGATTCGCTGTGCCATCAGCTAGGACTTACAGTTGGCCAGCCACTTGCAAAGGGGCTCTCCCGCGTGGGGATGCTCCCGTGGGCAGAGCTGGAGGCAGTCCCGGAGTCCCTTCCCTGGAGCCTGACCTGCGTGCCTGGCTTCTGTTCACTTTCAGGATAGCCCGGCCAACATGGAGTCCGGGGATCTCTTGGATTTTTTTTTTAAACCTCCTGGAGAATTTCAGAGATGTAAAATATGATGGTTCTTGGAGTAGAGGGAAGAGTAAGGGAAGTTTATGCCTTTCCTTGTGAGGGATCCCAGCCTCCCAACCTTTGCTTTTTGACATGTGCCTATTGATACTGGAGGGGTAGAGAGGGCCATGCAGCTGCCTGCCCCATAGTAAGCCGCTTTGCGGTGGTAATGATACTCACAGACTCCTTGCTACGGGCTGCGCGCGTGCGCGCACACGTCGTAACAACATTTACCCCGCGCTTCCTCTTCACCAGAACTCCTGTTAAGCACTTTTCGCACATATTTCATTGCATCCTTGCAGCCCCCTTTGAAGTAGGTAAAGTGATTCTCTCTATTTTGCAAATGAGGAAACGCCCAGAAGAGTTCAGTGGAGTCTGGCTCTAAAACACATGCTCTCTCACTTCACTCTCCCACATCGGTGGGTAACTGAAATCAGCGCGCCCTTTCTATGGTCCTCTTCTTGCGAGAGTTTCGACAAATGCACTCACGCTGGTCGCTGTCACCTGCATCCTCTTTGCCACACCCAGCCCCTCCTCTCCCTCTCCCCCATGGGCCTCCTCCTTAGACACACTTAGGCCACTTACAGTTTCCCCCAGCACTTTGCAAAAGTAGATAAGAGAAACCATGATGTTATCTTTTCAGTTTTCTGCAGCCCACGTTTCAGTGGGTCAAGTTTTAAATGAAGATTATTGCTCTGGATTCCTGCTAGGGAGCCCTGCAGTGAAACTGAATTCATTGTGTCTCCCACCTGGGGGGACTGCCACAATTCTGCAAATTGGAGATCTCAGTGTTTATAGGCTAACTGATAAACCAGGTGAGGCTGCTCACCTGTGTTTGTGATCTCTGGTGGAGCCTTGAGCCATGGGAAGGCCGTTGTCTCCTACTGACTCCAACTACCACATTTTCTGTGACCATAGATGCAGCTGCTGTTAAGAGGTCATGACTGTTTAAAATATTTTTGTTGCTTTTGGCATCTTTATTGCGGTGGATCAATGTTCAGTTTCTCCGGCCTTTTCCCTGAAATGTGTCCCCTTAAAAATTCCTTCTTGAGTGTCTTTTGCCCTCCCCTCCAAGTTCTAGGGTCCGGTGGGGTTTGGCCTGTCTGTGTCACGGGGGCACCTTTTCTTAACTTCCCCGTTGCTGTAGATGTTTGCATTCCTTACTCTGCACTTCCGCTGGGAACAAGTTCTCTCTCACATTATTCTCCTGCCTTAAGACTATTTGGAATGTGTTCTCAATGACACTTTCAAAATGCAGTGATAGTTTAATAATAGGAGATAGACGCTCCCGCACTTTCTAAGTTATAATCGTCGGTCCATTCCCAAGGATGTGTTTTGAAATAGCTATGCCTGTGTCCTGTGGTTTTTATTGGGCCGTTGGCATGGTTGAAACTCCGCACTACACACTTACGTATGCTGCAGATTTGAACATAGGTGAAGTCGGCTCACATGGCCCGTGCATATTCTCGCAGTAGCTCCACACCCCGGTTCCTGTCTGCTGTGTTACAGCCCTCTGAGACCTCTGATGTCATTTCCTGATAAACTTTCTCCTGTCAAAGTTTAGCAATTTCCTGTTGGGATCCCTCTCACTCCCCAAGGACCCTGCTCTCTCCAGCTTCCACCCTAACAGGGTAACAGGACAGGAGATGGGTTACTGCACATCCCACCACGTGTCGAGGAACACCTTCCTGACTTTTTCTGGAGCAAAATCCCTGAAATTCCCTGTCCTGCCGAT